TGAAATTCCCGAAACTTTTGAAGCTCATGGACAGTACCAGAATTTATAAAATTTAACATTTACAGATCTTAGCACTACTTAGTATCAGATGATTTATTGACAACTCTGAAGTTTCCTGGATATCCATGAAGTCATAACACTTCTTAAAAGTTGCTGCAGTTTCCTTGAAGCTGGTTGATCCGCCTTGAAGTTGAAGATGATAAACCCAAAATTTTACAAAAGTTCCTTACTATACCGCAGTCTATTCATGAAACTTCCCCGGAATCCTCGGTATTTTCTTCCATTCCCCGGAACTTCTTCGTACAGTTTTTGTGCACCCTCTTGAAGTTCTCGCTGCCCTGAAATCAATAAAACTGTTCTAAAGATCTCTTAACTTCCGGACAATTTCTTAATCTCCGTGAATTTATACAATTTCAGTGATGTTCCTGAAATTTTTCTTAGGACCTCTCCCAAGCAACAATTTTTGTTTTATTTAAGTTTTATAGCAGTTGATATAACCAAATTATAAAACCTTCACTGACGACCACATTGCTTTAACAATCTCCTGAGAACCGCAATACAGCCATGTCATGGCCAATTGGCCCAGTTTTAATGCAGTCATTAAAACTTGATATGCGAACTACTTTAGGAGCATAGAATTTATGTCAGTTTTATCACACTCTAGACGTGATTGTTAAAAATGAAAACATAAAACCTCCTCCAGGTCAGAAAGTTTTAACAGCCTTCTAATGACTACCATAAAACTATATTACAACCGCATAAATCGCTCCTGAAGAAGTTGATAAAACATGATACGCAAAACATTTTGACAACTTTGAAGGTTTTAAGTTGGGGTTTTTGGATGATAGTTAATATTGAGAAATATTTTATTGTGGTTTTATTCTTTCGATGTTTGATGTGAAATCATGATCCTTGTCATTTGGTAATAATGGCTGATATTATTGTACATTGAAAATAAGACGACTTTATTATAATTTTAAACCAATCTGTATATGCTTCACAGCATGCCGTGCAATATTTATGGTGATTATTATACCAAATAGGAGCATAACTTTAGTGCGCCATATGAATACTAAAATATAGGGATATTTTTAATTTGTCTGCATTAGCACCATGCATTAAAGAGTCATTCAAAGATTATCTATTTAGTACAAAACTGTTACTACTGTTGAGCAATAACCAAACACATATTATTTAATTATACATAGATGTATGAAAGTGTTTTATTGCCTATCAATTAAAGCGTAATTATTCATACTGTGTGAAATTTGTTCATACGGCGACATTTTTTTTCGTTATAACTTGCTACTCCTTAAAAATACCTCAATATAACATATTCTCCTAGATTGGAATTCTATAGCATAACATAAACCTAATGGTTGTATCTTAGCATTTCGTAGTCCAAATTGAGAGCGTTAAGTTATATTTAAGCTATATAACTAGCTTGCTGGTTTTATTCGGTACAGCGAATCAAAACAAAACAAAAACCATGACCACCTGTCAAAAAGTCAACATTCCAAGCGATCCTCCTATTTTCGCTTGTATCCAAGATGTAAGAAATGCTTATTGGATCCACTAAAAGCTTTTTCAATACAAGGTTTAAAGCCGTGATGTCAATACTGGCCATCTCCAAACGGATTTAGTGAAACTGTCGGCGTTGCTTTAAGAAGGGTTCGTGGATCTTTCGGAAGTGTATCGGAAAGCCGCTTGTTCAATATTTTTAAGAGCTCCTTCACCGCACTGTGCCTTATGTAGGGATCGTATAACTGTAGTTCCTCCAGGAGTTTCATATTGTCGATCGTCTCGTCTTCATCGTGTTCAGAAGCACTGAAGGGGTTTTCATTTCATATATCTGAATAGATTTGTTTTTTATAATGACAAAACATTTCAGAGTATTTATTGTTGTAGCAGTATATTTCTTATCTGTGAATCTTAGGCCTCTGATAAAGATGATAGTTGTAATGAAGCTTTAATGAAGGTCTAAGACTGCTTCAAGTTTTATATCGGTCATAAAAAGTGTACCATAAAACATAATTGTGTGTTTTGTTTTGGTTTTATTCTTCAGTTATAAGTAGTGATGCAGAACCACCTTACAGCTACCGTTAAAACTATGAAGTCTGAGTTTTAATTTAGTAGTCATAAAACAGTTTTATAGACGACTTGACGGCCTGATTTTATGACAAGCACACAAAACCGTAATACAACCACAGGCTGGAAGGGATGCTATGATAAAACAATGATAAAATAAGAATAAATCTTCCAAGCATTTAGATTGTTACTTGGGCTAAGCTTACCTTTTGTTCTCAGTAATTTTTAAAAATTTCTACGTTCCCACTGGCTTTCTGAATTCAATGGAACTGCTCTAAAGTTCTCGAAATTTACCTGGAGTTCTCAGAACTTCCCTAAAATTCAAGCAAAATTTCTCGGAACTACTCGAAGCTCCTTTAAGATCTCTTAACACGACTGCCCTGAAACTCCTCGATCTCCATTGAATCCAAAGAAATTTTCCTCAAATCTAAGCTATCGGAACTTATCTGATCTTTGATTTTAAAATTTGCCCGTAGTGTTGGCTGTTCTTGAAGTTTTCGGAACTACCCTTTATTTTTCAAAACTTCCTTTAAGTTCATATAAATTCCAAGAAATTCTCATTCTTGCAGGTTCCCGCTTTATTTCTGATGTTCATGGAACTAACATAAAGTTCGAAATTTTGTACATGTACATGAACATTCCCATTTGTGTGTGGGAAAAATATAAATTTAGATAGAATTGTAATATACTGCAAAATTGTAATATACTGTGAAATGCGCAGAATTATGGCAAAAACTCTATAAAATTCTTATCAAGATTTTCTTGGAAAACTTTTCCAAATTATTTGGGAACTCTTGTCGGAATTTCCTTCAAACTTTCCTAAGAATTGACTAGGAATTTCTTTTGAGTTATCCTTACAATTACTTTTGAATTGAATTCTGATATTCCTTGAAACTCTCCTAAAAATATCTCATCGCTCCAGACTTTAGATTATCTCTGATTTCTGCATAGCTTTCCTTTAATTCATTCACAGAATCGAATATATATTCGTCCATGAATCCCTTATCAATTCTCTTCATAAGACCATTAAAATTCGTCTGAAAGTGTAATCACAATTCAAATTTTCTTTCGTTCTCAGTATTTTTAAAAAATTTCTACGTTCCTACTGGCTTTCGGAATTCAATGAAACTGCTCTAAAGTTTTCGACATTTACATGGAGTTCTCAGAACTTCCCTAAATTTCAAGCAAATTTCTCAGAACTGCTCGAAGCTCCTTTAAGATCTCTGAACACGACTGCCCTGAAACTCCTTGATCTCCATTGAATCCAAAGAAATTTTCCTCAAATCTAAGCTATCGGAACTTATCTGATCTTCGATTTTAAAACTTGCCGTAGTGTTGCCTGTTCTTGAAGTTTTCGGAACTACCCTCAACTTTTCAAAACTTCCTTTAAGTTCATTGGAATTCCAAGAAATTCCCATTATTGCGGGTGCCCGCTTTATTTCTGATGTTCATGGAACTATCATAAAGTTTTTAAAAAAAAACTTCCTGCCTCTCCTGGAACTTTTTCTGACCTTCATTGGACTCCCAACTTCTTTGAAGTTTTCTGGACTTTTTACTTGGAAAGTCTACAACATTGTTTCCTGAAGTTAATTTAAGTTATATTTTACCTAAAGCTTTCGGAGCTTCCCTAAAGTTTCCACAATTCTAAAGTTCCTGAAATTTTCTTGACGTTAATAGAATTGTCGTGATGTTCTCTATTGTTCATGTTAGTTCATGAAATTTTTTTGAAGTCCATATAACAGCCATGTAATTTTTATAATTCACCCTTAAGTATCTTAAAGTTCAGAACTTTCCTCAAGTTCTCGAAACTAACCTGATGATTTCAAAAATTTCTTTGAATGTTTCGGATATTCCCTTAAGTTCTTGGAACATCCCTGAAGTTTTCTAAATTGGCCTAATAAGCTCCTACTTACTTACTTTGACTTCTGCGTGAAGTCAACGATTTACATAGTTCTTCTTTCCTTTATTTAACGTCGGTCTCTGTTCCGCAATCTAGTGCCAATCACCGACGGACATCGATTGCCATCCATTGACGGCAATCGAATGTGCAGGAAGGCAGCTTCCACACCTGCGTAGGATATCGCACCCATTCAATTCAACACGCATATGGGCCGGGACCAACTGCTTTACTTCCCTTCCGAAGGAAGAAGTGACCAGAGATTTTTATGCCTCAGAAAAATCCCACCGACCTCGGCTGGGATTGAACCCAGACCCATTGGGGTGTTAGAAAGCAGTCACGCTTACCACTACACCACTGGCGCCGGCTGACGATTTACATAGTCGAAGATGCTAATTTCAAATAACAGACTGTAGTGGTAATTTTTATACGATAGATGGAGGAGATGAAAGCATAGAGTTGATAGTTCCGTTAGAGTACGGCAGTGTGAAAATTGCATATAGATAGTAGATAGCGAGCTAGGACAACTTTTAAGGAAGGTACAAATCGGTTTTTCCATCCCTCTTTACCAAACTCCCCCTTTGGAGAGGGGACACCATCCCTCTCCAAAGGGGGAGTTTGGTAAAGAAAGATGAAAAAACCGATTTGTACCTTCCTTAAAAGTTGTCCTAGCTCGCTATTCGCTAAATTAGCATCTTCAACTATCCTACTTACTTGTTTTTAAGGTGATACTCTAAGGAAATCATACAATTCTGAAATTGCTACTCTCGGTTTGTTGTAGCGCAGCAATTAAGGAGTAGCAATAAACATATTTGTATATCTTGTGGAAGCTGACATTTATGCATTTCAAGTTTCACGCTAAGGCTATGACCTTAAGATCTCAAATCTTCCCAGAAGTTTTCGGAACTTCCCAGCATGGTCTTCCTTCATAGCTCCGGCTTTACCGACTGAGGCAAGGGAAGGCCCCTATTTTCACTAAAGTACTTAAAAGCGATTCCCTTCCTCCGTTGCGCAGATCTCGGGCCTCTTTTCACCGTCAAGCAATATGTCGATCGCCACCTACGAAGAAGTCCTGGACCTCCCGAACCATCCGGAGAAGCTTCTGATCGACGTTCGCGGTGCCGATGAACTAGCTGCCACCGGTCAAATCCCAACCAGCATCAACATTCCCCGTAAGTATTCCGATAATAGCTGGAGCCTGTCGTAGACAAGATAGCTTTAACATTCCACAATCCAGTTGAGCAAGTAGCGAAAGCATTCTCACCGAAGACCAACACAGAAGACTTTCAGCAGTTGTATGGAGTTCCGAAGCCCGCTCCCGATCACTACATCATAATTTTCTGCCGGACAGGAAGACGAAGTCAGATGGCAATCGATACCATCAACACCCTTGGGTACTCAAAGTAAGGCAGCAAACATCGTGTGGTGGTGCTTAGAGTCATCGCGTATTGTTCATTTATAACCCCATCATCCACAGCAACAGGCACAGAAAATCGCGATTTGGACAACCGCAGAATGTTACACCTAACCTAACCACAACTAATATTTATCATTAGTCATCAATCAAAATTAAGGGTTATTCGGCATGATAGGAGCTTTCCCTTTTTTTCCCTATTTCTGTTTCAGTTCCCACCCTGGAAAGGGCGTTAAACCTGCCGGCTGATGAATTCAAGGCCAAGTACGGCCACGATAAGCCCCAACCGGACCAGGAGGTGATCTTCCACTGCAAGCTCGGTGGAAGGGCCCAGACGGCCGCCGATCTGGCTACCCGCCTCGGATACACAAAGTACGTCTCGATGTGGTCGGTCGATGTTGAACCGCACCCCGATGTCGTAGTCGTTGTGTTCTGTCGCTTGTCTATCTAGGCATAACTCTTCTGTTCTATCTCGCTGTATCTATTTAATCTGTGTGCAAATAGTGTTTCTGAACTGGTGCCGGTTTCAGCATTCTCATTCGTATTAATTATGTTGGAATTGCAAATTTGCAGAGATTGATTTACACTTTCTTACGCCAATTTTAGCGCCAGGAACTACAAGGGATCGTGGACCGACTGGGCTGCCAAGCAGGGCAAGTAGGCTGAATAATCGTTTTTTACCACCACGCACCTCTAAATCTATAAGCTATGTTTACGATCGATGAAGTTGATTTGAAATAAATTCGTAATGTTATTTAAGTGTAGAATGTGTTTTAATTTTCCGGGAATGACACCACCCTTATTAGGTTAGTTTACGTTACTTTATTTTCCTGATTATCATCAGGGCGACTGGTTCGAGATGTGGGTTCAATCCCAGGCCCTGCAAACTCAGTTAAATACTACCTACTAAAGGAGCCATCTCCACATTTAATTTTCCTCCCCAATATTCATTTAAGATAAAAAAGCCGTCTCGTGATTAGTTTCGAAGAGTGTCTTTCCCTTTCAAAACGAAATCAAACTAGGGGAAACGCTCCTATAGTTGCGGTACGTTTGTAGCGTTAGAAGCCTATTGCTGTGTATGGAGGTCTCCATACACAACAATAGGCTCCTACCGCTTCTAACTTAACGCAACAATAGGACTGTTTCCCCTACGTTAAAAGCGTTAGGTTCCTATAGTTGTGCATGAAGACTCAATGCACAACTATAGGAACCTAACGCTTCTAACGAACCGCAACCATAGGAGCGTTTACCCTATATGTATCAAAATAAAATAAGAATGACTTGCGGCCAAACCCAAAGTCAGTGCCCTTGCATAAGCGTGCTGCGACATGGCTATCAAATAAAATATACAGGGGAAACAGTCCTATTGTTGCGATACGTTAGAAGCGTTAGGAGCCTATTGTTGTGTATGGAGACCTCCATACACAGCAATAGGCTGCTAACGTTACAAACGTACCGCAACAATAGGACTGTTTCCCTTACAGGTGATACTGTTCCTAGCGTCTAGAACTTAGGTTCTCTCAAGCCATGGTTCATCAGAGACGGAAGGCTCACTAATCCACAACGACCGTCCATGACAATTCACTGCCACGATATGAGCTAGAGATGCCGGCCATAAACCCACCGTCTCCAACGCTCCATTATGACATGTGATTACCCCCCCACCAACGTCAAGGTGCAAAAACTAGCCTTCATCCACATAACAGTTCTCACTTCGAAATGTAGGTGGCTAAAGCTCGCAAAAGTTTCACTGCAAGACGCCACAATTCTCTTTAAACTCTCACAAGAAATTGATTAATTTTCTCTTCAAAATTTTGTATAAAATATCCTACGGAAACCTGTACTGTACTACGGAAAACTTTCCTTAGAGTTGACATGGGAGAAGGGTCCTGAAATAAAACTTAGATTTGTCCCCAAGTTTCCCTAGAAGTTCTGGTGAACATTATCTTCGAATAAATCATAAAGTGCCATAATGCGGAGAATTATGGTAAAAAATCTATGAAATTCTCCTCAGGATTTTCTTGGAAAACTTTTTCAAATTTTTTGGGAACTCTTGTCGGAATTTCCTTGAAACTTTCCTAAGAATTGCCTAGGAATTTCTTTTGAGTTATCCTTACAATTACTTTTGAATTGAATTCTGAAATTCCTTGAAACTCTCCTGAAAATATCTCATCGCTCCAGAATTTCGGTTATCTCTGATTTCTGCATAACTTTCCTTTAATTTATCCACAGAATCCGATATATATTCGTTCATAAATCCCTTATCAATTCACTTCAGAAGACCATTAAAATTCGTCTGGAAGTGTTATCACAATTCAAATTTTCTTTAGGAAATTGGAATGTCAAATATTATAAACTCTTAATAATTTAAGAAGGTATTCCGTATTCCAATTTCAAAATCCAATCTATCACTTTCCACATTTCACATTTCTGTCGGTAGGTGGGATTGGGAAAACTTTGATTCTGTAACATTGGAAATGTCCAATTTAAAAAAAAATAATGATGATGATGATGATGATCCTTGCCTCTTCCCTGAAATTCCATCTAGCGACAGGAAGAATCTATGGCCAGCCGCTTAGAATATGTTTAAACTCTGAAACATTTGAAATTTTGAAGTTTTTTGATTTTTGAATTTGATTTTGCAAGACAGAAGGGGGTCTTATGAAGACCAAATCTCAAGTCTCAAGGCCACATTCCAGAACATGAGTGGAACATGGCTGGTAAACGGCTGGACAATGCGTACCATCGATACTTCGCGTATCCGCTGGTATAAAATAGATTCTAACACCTCTGTGCGCGTGGTCACTTGGTCACTTACTCCTATCCCTACATCCCCGCGGTGCCGGCTGGGGTACGAGTAACCATAGGAAAGATCTGGTAACCAACCCCGGTGGGACCTTGGTCGTATGCTGACAGGAAAGGGGGGACTTCTCTCTCCGGAGAGTGCAGTCTTCGAGCGTCTGTGCTCCATGTTAGGAGCGACTGATCAACGTCCTGGTGCCAGCGTGGTATTCTAAACAGTGCTGTGCACGATGGTCCTCCAGCGAGACAATGGGGGTTGCAGGCCCTACAAGCCAGCCGTAAAAAAAACTAAAGTACTGGAAGCAAGCAATGTAAATACGGACCGGAACAATCGGCATAGACCCAGGCAACGAAAACGGACTAACGACTGGAAACTGGAATGGAACATGGAACTGCACACACTTAGATTTTTTTGCCGAGATTGGCACCACCGAGCATGCTCGGCATTTATTTTTACTGAGATCTCAGCAAAGTTTATGTTTGTTAGCCGAGATGTCGGCAAAATTCCCGTTTGTTAACTGAATCTCGGAAAAAATTTCACCGAGATCCAGCAAAATAGATTGCCCAGCAAAAAAATCTAAGTGTGCAATTCTCTCAATTTCTTAGGAAGTACCCGCAATCTTTCCGATTTATTGAGGGTCCACAAGTTCGATACTGTAGCGCTGCCGGAGGTTTACTGGAAGGGATCGTCGGTACGGCGTTGTAGAATGTGCAAGTTGAAGATCAAAGGCCGTTTCTTCACTGTCAACATAATCAACGTGCACAGCCCTCACTTAGCAAGTGACGATGACGATAAAGACGCTTTTTACGCGCAGTTGGAACGGGAATACGACAGCTGCCCAAGCCATGACGTCAAAATCGTTATCGGAGATCTTAACGTTCAGGTCGGCCAGGAGGAGGAATTCAGGGTTATAGGAAAGTTCAGCGCTCACCAGCTAACGAACGCCAACGGCCTTAGACTCATCGATTTCGCCGCCTTCAAAGACATGCCCATACGTAGTACCTACTTCCATCGGTACACCTGGAGATCACCGCAGCAGACAGAATCGCAAATCCACCACATTTTGATCGACGGAAGACACTTCTCGGACATTATCGACGTCAGGACCTATCGCACGCGCAAACATCGATTTGGATCACTACCTTCTAATGGTACATTCGGTACCGACGCCCACCACGGTACAATTTGGAGCGACTGAAGCTGCCCGAAGTCGCAACTGATTAAGCGCAATGCCTCGACGCAGCGTGGCCGGATGAAGGAGGACTGCTGGAACAACGCGAAAGCAGACATTAACGGCGCTGCTGAAGGTGCCATTGGGTTTGTGGAGCGGAGGAGGAGTCAGAAGGTTTTGCACGAGAACAACGCAGCGCAGATGAGGATGCTGCACCAAGGAACCCGTCAAAATGTGGAGCGATACAAACAGAAACGAAGACAGCAAAACCATCTTTTCCGGGAAGAGCTGGAGTGCGAAGAAATGCAGCAGCTGTATCGTTCTCACGAAACGCGCAAGTTCTACGAGAAACTCAACGTATCCCGCAAAGGCTTTGTGCCGCGAGCCGAAATGTGTCGGGATAAGGAAGGGGGTATCTTCACGGACGAACGTGAGGTGATTGAAAGGTGGAAGCAGCACTACGATGAACATCTGAATGGCGCGGAGGCAGAGGACCAAGACAGCAGGATGAATGGCTTTGTCGGTACAGCGGATGAGGGGGACATGCCAGCTCCCACGATAGGTGAAGTTAAGGATGCTATCCGACAGCTTAATAGTAATTAAAATGGGCCCGGATAAGTTGACCACTTGTCTGCACCGTCTTATAGTCAGGATCTGGGAAACAGAACAGCTACCGGAGTAGTGGAAGGAGCGAATAATATGCCCAATATATAAAAAAGACGACAAGCTAGAATGTGAGAACTATCGAGCGATCACTATTCTCAACGCGACCTACAAAGTGCTTTCCTAGATCATCTTTCGCCGCTAGCAAGCAGATTTGTGGGAAGATATCAAACCGGTTTTGTGGACGGGCGATCTTATTTTACTTTTGACCGTGAAGAGCGATGGAAGATTATGGACGAGAACGGTTTTCCCGGGAAGCTGACCAGACTGATCAGGGCTACGATGGAAAGGCGATGGTCTTTCGTGCCTCCTGTTCAACATTGCGCTAGAAGGTGTTAAGAAACGTGTGGGCTTTAACATGCGGGGCACGCTACAGTCCAGTCAGTTGATCTGCTCCGCTGACGACGTGGAGATTGTCCGAAGAACGTTTCGGGCCGTGGTGGAGCAATACACCAGGATGAAACGTGAAACAGAGAAGGTTGGAATAAAGGTGAATACGTCGAAGACAAAGTATCTGTTAGTTGGAGGAACCGAGCGCGATAGGGCTCGCATAGGCAGAAGCGTGACAATCGACGGAGATTAGACGTCGGATATCAACTGCAGCAGAGAAAATCGTATAAGCAAAATTGCCAGAAGTCGTGCTTACTACGGACTCCACAAGACCCTGAGGTCACATAAACTTCACCCCGTACTAAATGTACCATGTACAAGACGCTGATAAGACCGGTAGTTCCCTACGGACACGAGACGTGGACGATGCTCGAGGAGAACCTGCAAGCACTGGGTGTTTTCGAACGACGAGTGCTTAGGACCATCTTTGGCGGGGTTTATGAGAACGGTGTATGGAGGTGAAGGATGAACCACGAGCTGGCGCAACTCTATGGCGAACCCAGTATCCAGAAAGTCGCGAAAGCTGGACGGGACACGTTTTAACAATACCGGACAACAATCCCGCAAAAATGGTGTTTACCTCGAATCCGGTCGGTGCAAGACGCAGAGGAGCACAGCGAGCAAAGTGGTTAGACCAAGTGGAGCAAGATTTAGGAAGTGTGGGACGGACAAGAAATTGGAGG